CAGGAGATTTTACACAAACTTCTTCGCTTCTACTTGATCAAAAGCAACAAACAGAACTATAATTTATTTATTTATTATTATTTTTGTTTTCTCAGAAAACACCTTAAGCTTGTTAAGCTACTGCTGCTTTTCCTCCAAACTACATGAATAAAACAGAAATGAGGCTAGGATATGCACATGAAATAATATTTATGTTTCATCCAACTCAATTATTTTTGCACAATGCTCTATTTTTCTCTCTCTCCAGCAAAGCAAAACTTCCCACACCAAATTCTTCAATAAGCCCCTTAAGATTTTTCTCCAGTGACAAGAACAAGTGAGAGCTGTTAATAATTTTCAGATTTAAAGCAGTAACTCTCATATAAAACCATTTTTTCCTTGAGATTTGCCAAACTATTCCTCTCCAGAAATACTGTATCCTTATTCGAAGAATTTTTCACTATATTGTCCAGGCCTACTAAGTGAATACAAACCAACAGAAGAGACAATTTTTCAAGGGATGATGAGTTGAAAGCCAAGAAAACATTTTCTACTTCTTATAATTTAATCCACATTGAATTGTAGATAAATTTGGCAGTATCAAAATAAGAGTTTTATCAGCATATAAACTGCCACCGCCTTTTTAAAGCTTTTCTAAGAATGGTTGGTTCTGGTCGTAACTCTTAGAAGCAAAAACACCGTAAGTTTGGATTCTATCTTTTGTATTAAGAAAAATGATTTGGAGGCTCCTGAGTGGCTCAGTCAGGTAAACGTCCGGCTCTTGATTTCAGCACAGGTCATGATCTCAAAGTTCAGGAGACTGAGCCTTGCATCAGGCTGCACTGACAGTGTGGAGCCTACTTGGGATTTTCTCCCTCTACTCTTTCTCTGCCCCTCCCTCCTTCTGCTTCTCTCTCAAAATAAATAAATAAACATAAAAAGAAAGGAAGGACAGAAGGACGGAAGGACGGAAGGAAGGAAGGAAGGAAGGAAGGAAGGAAGGAAGGAAGGAAAGGTGATTTGTCTTCACGTTTTCTCTACGTGCTAGAGATTCTTTTCGTTGATACGCTCTTTCCATAAAAACCTTTGCAACAGATAAAGGGTAGCATTATGCAAATTCTGCATACTAAAAAGGGGCAGTTAAATAGAAGCTACCAATATGCATACTCAGTACCATCTTTCTATCGTCTCTAGGGCAAGTTTTTTATTAAAAAAAATTTTAATGTTTATTTAGTTTTGGGGGAGGGGGGAGAGAGGAAGGGAGGGAGGGCAAAATAGCACGCGTGTGTAAGCAGGGGAGGGGCAGAGAGAGAAGGCGACAGAATCTGAGGCAGGCTCCTGGCTCCCAGCTCTAAGCTATAAGCACAGAGCCCGATGTAGGGGTCAAACTTCTGAACCCTGAGACCATGACTTGAGCTGAAGCCGGATGCTGAGTCAACTGAGCCACCCAAGCAGCCCTCTAGGGCAAGTTCTGTGCTACCCAATAGCATCTTGTAAATATTAGACATTTACAGCAACTGCACTAGGCCTAGTTTGCCTAAGAGTGGGAAAGGCTTCTGAAACCAAGCAACTTAAATAAAAACCACAGTCTTCATTAATCTTAAATTAGAACAAAATATGAATAAAGTAAACTTTAATGGAATATAAACTGTTGTTGGTCTTCATTCTTTAATACTTCGGTATTAAAGATCAAGAATGAAAAAACAAACCAGCTGTCTAAGATGTAAAATAAATCAAATCAAATAGTCACAAAGTTGTATAAATTGATAAACTTCCCATTTTCTTAGAAAACGTATGTATGTTTTGATAGAATACATTTAATCTCAAGATTTCCTAATACAACAAAACAGTCATTGCATTAAAAGGATTATTTTCATGATGAAAACAAACTACATTGAGTCATAATAACTTATCTGACAAATTTTAAGTTTTCCTTTCTCCAGTCTACCAAATGTTTATATCAAATGTTCTATAATTATCTCAGAATCTCAGGTGCTTCTTCCCAAACTAGTACAGGAATGAACTATTACATGGAGACTACCAACATATAAGGAGGTAAGACAGGTCTAGGAGGAGGGAGTTACTTCTAAGCACGCTGAATCAGAGCTCCCTATAGACAGATATCTTATTCAATCAGTATCTGAGTAGGCACTGTTACTAGGCACTGAGAATTACTAGACAGCTGGATGTACTGAAATTACTGGGCTAGATGTGGAAGCCATCTGGCGAATTATGGAAAAATCTGAATGACACCACTCCAGAGAGTACAGACTAAGTAAAAACCGTAGACTAGACTTTTAGAAGAACAGATGTAAGAAAAAGGCAGAGAAATAGGAGTCAATAAAACAAATGCCAGAAACGTAGAGGGTAAACCAATAGACTGGAGCTATTACTGAAGAATTTAAAAAAGCAGAGATAACTACTATCAACCTCACCAAATTAAGATGAGGCCTGAGAAACACCTATCAAACACTGCAACTAGGAAATCAATGGTAGTCTTATAGGGAACATTTCTACGAGTAAAGGAGGAGATAACAGCATGCTGAGCAAAAGAAAAGAGGAAGAAAAGGAGAAAGAAATGGGGCACTTTTTAATTAGCTTAGGTATAAAGTGAAGGAAAATGATATAGTAATAGTGAAAAGGAAGAGTCTGGGTCATGAGAATATATAAAATGAGACGGAACTGAAAACAGAGTCAATCATTGGAGACCGAATTGAAGACAGAGGAAAGATAATGGTTCAGAGATTTTCTCTAAATCAACTTCTGCATCTCAGTACTTGTCTCATTTGCTTTAACCAACAGGAATAATCACTGTGTTTGTTTCACGTACCAAGGCTGAAAAAAAATAAGGTATGCTCTCTAATAGCCAACCTTTCCAGATTCCACTCAACTCCAGCTACGCCGCTGGCTTGCTCCCCTTCTCTCTCTCTCTCTGTGCATGACAGGGCAAAAATGTGTGCACGTGCACAGACAAGTTTAAGTCCTATACCAAAGTCTCCACTGGGGAGAAATGGAAAGCAGACTCCTCATCTAGACATCGTGGCACAAAGATTTATATTCACCTTCTCATTTTCAACAGAAAAGAATCTTAATTTCCTCTTATTTGTTTAAAGTTTATTTATTTATTTTGAGAGAGAGAGAGAGCAAGGGACGGATAGAAAGAGAGAATCTCAAGCAGGCTCTGCACTGTCAGTGCACAGCTCGATGTGGGACTCAAACTCACAAAACCACAAAATCATGACCTGAGCAGAAATGAAGAGTTGGATGCTTAACTGACTGAGCCATGTAGGCGCCCCTTAATCTCCTTTTCCAAAAGATACAAATTGTGGAATTTGTGAAAAACATCTCAATGAGAAACAACTATAATCATAGAATCAATAAATTTTGGAATGAAAATTTAACTGGTACAACTGGAAAGACTCCAGAATGTAGATCTGTCAATAAGAGACTGTAAGCCTGTCCTTCCACCTTTCTGTACCTTAATTTCTTAAATTATAAAATAAGTGAATTAGAAGAAATTACCGTGGTCCCATCCAGCTGAAAGAAGAACATGATTCTGGTCCTATGCGTGCTACTTCTAGGTAAAGAGAACAAGGCTCAGAGACAACAATTTAACAACTTCAAAAGTTAGTAGGAAAGAGCCATTTTGGAATTGAGGGTTGCTGATTCTCAGTTTAATGTTCTTTAAGCTATAAAAAGTTTATGTTCTTACAAAGTATGAAGATATTGGTGATTTTAAAAAATCCTCTGTTCCTCTTCACCCCCAATGACATTTTCAAGAATGGGCACAGCCAAGGCCATGGTGAAAAGTGGAGCATATGCAGAAAGTGTCTCCTAACATGCGGCTTTGAGCCTCTCTGATGGAGTCATGTGTACTACAGTCCTATACTGTTTATCAAAGAAACAGGACACAATATTTTGGAATGTAGTGGCCCTTATCCATGCTCTGCTTGGGGATATTCTGCCTTCCACACAGGATGTGCAACATTCCCTATTCCCAATGGAATCCTAGGATGTCCTACAAGATTCTAGTAAGCTCAGTCTTCTCTGACAAACTAAGGCTGATGCTCTATTTCAATTGAATGAGAATGTTATCAATTGCCTCTGTCCCTATTTTGTCTTCTAGTCATTGGGGCTATAAAGACTTCAAAGATGACACTCAGATAGCTAAAGAAATAACAGGGTTTTTCAGTTACTTTCAAAAATAGTTACTGTGAAATCCAGTATAGTAACTACATAAAGATAGTGGAGACAGAGGAGAAAAAAGGGATATCACAAAAAAACAAAATTCTCTCTATTTCCTGTATTTAAATTTACATTTTAAAATGGACAGTTTGAGACTTCCTTTCATTCAAACACTAACAAGGCATTATTATTTTTTTGCTGAAAATAATCTTATAATATTATTAGTTAAATAGTTCTTGGGATTTATAAACACTGTAAAATATATAGCAAAGAGATAAAGTCTTAGTCAAATGATATCTAACACAGACATTTGGCTGTCTCAGCACTGAGCTGAATTTCCACAGCTAAACAACTCACTCCATCTAGGAAAACAACACCAGCACCATTTATTTAGACTACCTTTCATAATTCACCCTAAAATATCTGCCAACTATACAAAATAATAGGGATTCATGACATTGAAAATAAATTCAATAAATCTTTTAATCAATTTCTTTAGTTAATGTTACATGTTTTCATAGCAATAAACTTTACAAACTACTCTTTCATTCTTTAAAAGCATTACTAAAAGAGCTAAAATGCATTATTTTACCAATGATTCATCTTTAAGAAAAAAATGAGAGTCTATGAAGAACCTTAAGGGCAAAAGTCTAATTTAAAATGAAAAAACATTCCAGGTAATAAGGTAACACATTTCTTTAGTCAATTTTTTTAACTCAACAATATTGTAGTAATTTCCTAAAAGAAAACACATACTTTTTAAATATACTGAATTTTATATAAACTACTAAATACGACAGAACTAGGCATAATGAACACACGATGACACTACTCACCTAAATAGGGAATGCACGGCGTCATCTTTAAGCTACTTATATAGTCTCTGAGCCTTTTGTAATTATCTTCTTTACTCATTACATACTCTAATTTCTCAAAGGTAGTTTTGTCTTTTCGACTTAGTAACTAAAAAAAACAGAAGAGTCTAAGTTATTTTCAAATCCCATTTTATTTTAGCAAAGACATGAAGCTGTATTTATTTACTATAAATTTAAGTTTTAATTTCAACATTATACGTTTTTCAATTATATTTTGATAGTATATAAATAAAACGAAATCAGACATGTCTATTAAAATAAATCCAAATCCATTATTTATAAAATGTAATACCCTTTGTATGCACATGAAATCATTAAATTAGTAGTAAGTTATAATACATTATTTTTCATCCTCATTATTTTTAACATTTACTTATTTTTGAGAGACAGAGAGATAGAGCGTGAGCAGGGGAGGGCAGAGAGGGAGGGAGACACAGAATCTGAAGCAGGCTCCAGGCTCCGAGTTGTTCAGAGCTGGACTGAGATAGTACAGACTTGTTTCCAGAAGACTATTTAGAGGAAGAATATGGATAAAAGAATTAATTAGATGATAGCTCAGAAACTTATCCAAAACCCATGTGCCAAAGCTATGACTAACAAGTCCTGATTTTCCTTTTCTCCTTTTCAGTCTTTTTCTGATGTTTAGTCCTAATGTATCCCTATGATGTCACTTCACTATATTCCTCCAAAAAAGGGGGAAAACATAGTACTTCGCAAGTTTCCAACTCTTCATGGTTTAGGCACCACACTATTCCTCTGGCTAAGAGGCAACGCGGGGTAAAGCTCTTCACACTTTCACTGGCGCATGAATGTGGGAACTCCCAATGTTCCTGGCCAGATCTCTGCACCATAACAATGTTACCAATGTTACCATAATCAATGGACTTTGGGAAAATTTGAATGAACCCTTGTTCATGTATCAGTCACCATAAGAAATATAAAACTCCCAGATCACCCCTCATCACCTTGATTTCTATCTCCAAATAATCCATACAAATGTCTTCACTTGCATAAGTAAGTTATTTATCTTGAACCTTTAATGCAGATTATAATCTTTTGTTCATGACACTCAGTTATCATTAGTCCCTGATGTGACTTTCTCCTTAAATCGATTTTTTCTTAAATTTTTAAACAAATACACATGCATTAGACTTCCTACCTACAAACCATATACCAACAACACACATCTACCTATGTGGTTCTTCCATATCCAATTCCTTTGACTATCTTTAAGTAACCAATAATCACTATCCTAAATTTTGTGTTTCTCATTCTCTTTTATTTGATTTTTTTAAAAAATTTTGACTCAAATTTTATTTGCTTTTTGACTAAAGAATTACATACTGTTTTTAATCTTTGGCTTCATTTAATCAATGTTCTGATGCTGAAATTTCATCCATAATGTTGCGTGTGGCTGTAATTCACTCATTTCCACTGCTTCTATGCATATGTCTTCTATGAAGTACCATCATTACGAATACTTTTCCATTTTTCTTATATTTTCCTTTTGCTTTGTAAGGGTTCTTCACATACTCTGGATATAAAGTCTTAACCAGTTACAACTGCTACACATTCTTTTCAATTTCTTTGAAATATCTTTTGGGGCACCTGTGGTTCAGTCAGTTAAGTGTCTGACTCTTGATTTTGGCCCATGACAAGATCTGACAGTTCATGAGTTTGAGTCCCACATCAGGCTTTGCGCTGACAGCACACAGAGCCTGTTTGGAATTCTCCCTCTCCCTCTCTCTCTGCCTCTCCTCTCGACTCATGCTTTCTCTCTTTCTCTTTCAAACCAATAAACTTAAAAAAAATTTTTTAAATATCTTTTAATGAACAGAAATTCTTACTTTAATGTGCCAAAATGTTTTCATCTTTTCTTTCATTGCTTGAGGTTTTTGTATCTTATCTGAAATATCCTTATAGACTCCAAGTTGGAATCTATTCCTGCTGAGCCAGAGAGATATTAAGCTATTTTTCCTCTTCTAAAAAAGCTTCAACGTTTTTCATTTGCATGTAACTCTTTAATTCATCTGACAGTGACTTTTGAGGCCTAATTTCATTTTTCCCCAAAATTGATAACCAATTTCCCAGCCTCAGTTAAGAAACAGCCCCTCTCTTCTCCACTGATTTACAATGCCACCACTGTCATGTATCAGAGTTCTATAAAAGCAATGATCTTTTGGGGGGTTCTTTATTCTGCTCCATTGGTTAATATGTCTATATCTGTACTAACTGCACATTACCTAAATAATACAATATACTTTGGTATCTATGAGGGCAAATGTCCAAGCCTCCAACCCCATTTTCTTCTTCAGAAATAACCTGACTATCCTAACCCTTTACATTTCCATGTTAATTTTATAAGCAATCTTGTCCAGACCCCCAGATTGGGACTTTGATTCAAGCTGCAAATAATCTCTACATACATTTGGGGAAAATTGGCATCTTTAAGCTTTCTTACCCATGACTATCGGATACTGTTCTATGTAATCTAGTTCTTTTTCAATGACTTTCCATAAAGTTTTATAGTTTTCTGGACATATCTTTCATATAAGATTCCACTTATTGTTTGCTATTATGTTACTTTTATTGATATTGTAAACAGTGGTCTCCTTTTAAATGACGTTTTCAAATTGTTTAGAATACAACTGATTTCATATACTGTTTGTATATTCAGTCACTTAGCAAGCCCTGTTTCTTAAAACTGTGGTAGAATACACATAACATTTACCATTTTAATCATTTCCAGGAGTACACTTCAGTGGCTTTAAGTACATTCGCATTATCAACTAACCATCACCACCAACCGTGCATAGCCAAACTCTTTTCAGCCAAACTGAAACCACACACATCAAACACTAACTCCCATTCCTCCTTCCTTTGGCCCCTGGCAACCATCTTCTACTTTCTTGTCTCTATGAGTCTGACTACTCTTGGTACCTTAGAATCATATAGTATTTGTCTTTTTGACTGGCTTATTTCACTTTGGATAATGTCTTCAAGATTCATCCATGGTGTAATGTGTCAGAATTCCATTCCTTTTTAACACTAACTAGTATTCCATTGTACGCTTATACATTCTGTATATCCATTTATCTAGTGATGGATGACTGGACTGTTTACACTTTTGGCTACTGTGAATCACGCTGCTATGAACACTGGTGTAAAAATGTCTGTCTGAGTCCCTGCTTTCAATGCTTTTGGATATATACCCAGAAGTGGAACTGCTGTATCAAATGGTAATTCTGCTTAATTTTTTGAAAGTAATTCCTATTATTTTTAATCATTTTTTTTTCTAATTGTGCTGGCTAAGATGTCAACGTTGAATAGAAACAGTAAACATGGGCATCCTTTCCTTGATGTTATAGAAAATGCTCCTAATATTCTCTCCATTTAGGTTATTATCAATTTGGGCAAACATTCCTTTTATCAGTTTAAATAAAAAAAACAAAAAGGGGCGCCTGGGCAGCTCAGTCAGTTGAGCGTTTAACTTTGGGTCAGGTCATGATCTTACAGTTGGTGAGGTCAGGCCCCACATCGGGCTTCCTGTAGTCAGCGCAGAGCCTGCTTCAGATCCTCTGTTCCCCTCTCTTTCTGCCCCTCTCCCGCTCACATTCTCTCTCCCTCTCTCAAAAATGAATAAACATTAAAAAATTAAAAAAAGATTTTTTAAAAATACTCTCGATTCCTTATTTATTATTAAAAATTATTAACCCAAACTAGCATGAAATGCATGCAATCTTTATTATCTAACTTGACCCCAATGATCTACCCCTCTCAGTCCTCTCCAACTGTACTTTCTGGGTCTCATGGTCCATCCTCTGCAAAAGCCACATCCTTAAACTTTCCTTTAAGCGTTCGCTTGCTTTTCTTGTAACATGAGCCTGGATTCAAGTTGGGTGCAATCCTGGTTCCTTGCCCTTCAGAATTCTTTCCTTCCTAATATCTTCCAGCTTCTACTAAGTTCAAACATCAGTGCTGTCTGAATTTTGTGTGATGAAAATGATCTAGCCACAATGGCCCCTAGCCACATGTGACTACTGACCACTGGCAACATGACTAGTGTGAATGAAGAACTAAATTTTATTCTATTTTTTAATGTTTATTTATTTTGAGAGAGACAGAGCACGAGTCGGGGAAGGGTAGAGAGAGAGAGGGAGAGAGAAAATCCCAAGTAGTTCCTAGAGGGAGAGAGAAAGAATCCCAAGTAGTCTCTGTACTGTCGGCGCAGATCAAGAATGAGATGCTTAACCAACTGAGCCACCAAGGTGCCCCGAGGAACTGAAATTTAGTGTATTTTTATAAACTTTTTAAAGTTTTATTTATTTATTTATTTTTGAGTGAGCAGGGGAGGGACAGAAAGAGAGGGAGGGAAAGAATCCCAAGCAGGCTCTGCACTGTCAGCACATAGTCTGATGTGGGACTCAAACCCACAAACGGTGAGATCATGACCTGAGCCGAAACTAAGAGTTGGACGCTTAACCAACTGAGCCACCCAAGCACCCCAGTTTTAATGATTCAAATTTAATACCCACATGTGGCTATCAGCTACTGTACTGAACAAGAGAGTACTAGATTATAACATGCATGTTACTGTCATAACTACTACACAGAGCTGCTGATCACTTTTCCTATATCTTAAAAGGTATTAGTAGCTGGAAAAAAGGCTGCAAACCAACATTACTTTCATATCTTGGTGACTGCAATCTTCACATAAAGGAGACTCTCAATACCCTGGTTTCTCAGTTCCTTGACTTCTACACCCAATGATCTTAACTTCTACCACTCTAAGCCTCTATTCCCTTGATCATTCTGAATCCAATAAGTACTGCCTGCACCAGAATTTCCAATCCAGTTACCAATATTACTTTTTCACTTTTACTTATCTCTCTCTTTTACTTGGATTAAATTCCTCACCTATCACTAAAACAACTTGTACATTTACCCAATCTCCTGTGCTACCCTTGACCCCACTATGGTACAAACAAGCCTAAATTCATTCCAACTCTGGTTAAACACAACTCTCATCACTACTCCAGGCTTATGCTGAACACCTGAACCTGGTTGGAGACTACATGACTTTGCTGACTGGTTTCACTTTCAATTCATGATCAAAAGTCTCAATCATAAGGCCTACCATACCAAACCTACTATGTTTCCCTAGTTAATTCATTCTGACACTCTTCTATATGACTTTCATTCATTCGTTCTTCTTTCTTCAAAACTCCAACACCTCTACCCCAACACTGTCAACTAACGACTTTGCCTTTTATGTCTTAAGAAACAAATCAGAAGAAGAATTTTTATAGAAATCTATAAAAATTTACCATCAAATCTACCATCTTACCTGCACTGGTAACCAAATGCATTCTCCTTTTCTGCTGTTAAAATGGATAAACTGTTGGGGCACCTGGGTGGCTCAGCTGGTTAAATGTCCAACTTCGGCTCAGGTCATGATCTCACGGTTCATGAGTTCAAGCCCCACACTGCGCTCTGTGCTAAGAGCCCAGGGCCTGCTTGGGATTCTCTCTCCCCCTCTCTGCCCCTTCTCCCTGCTCTCTCTCTCAAAATAAATAAATACACTCATAAAAATATTTTTTAAAAATGGATAAATTGTTTCTGCTCCAATGCAGTACTGGATTTAATTCTCTCCTGCCTGATCAAGGCTATTGCTGTAGAATTCCTTGCTCACCTACCATTTCTCTCATTCTATTAGCTCACTGCACCAGCATAAAAACACACTGTCATGGATCTCAAGTCCAAAAAGAAAACAAAATGACACAAATCTTTCGTCTTACATTCCCCTCCAGTTGCCAGATTTCTCTGCAGAATCTCAGCCCAGCTATGTACAGCAGAATTTCTCGAATGCATTCTCTACACTTGATGTCCTATTTTTTCTCCACCCTTCTCTCAAATCCAATCACTTTTCATTCCACCACTGTACTGAAACCACTCTTGCCTAGACTGCCAATCCTCTCCAGCAGCCAGATCCAATGGCCATCTCAAAGTGCTCACCTAATTCAACTTAGTAGCATTTGACACAGCGTGATCACTCTTCCTTGAAATACTTTCATTATTTGACTGTGGAAAACTCCTATCATGATATTTCCTTTGTTGATCCCTTCTCATTTTTCCAATCTCTATATCTTAGAGGGTTCCAGGGCTTTTCATCTGTACTTATGATTCCGATGATCTTATCCAACCTCATGCTTTATATAGTATCTTTATGCTGATGATCAAAACTATGTATCTCTAGCCCCAACTCCTACTGTCAACTTGTATACCTAACTCTGACCTTACAATTCCATATGGATATTTATCAACCAACTCAAACTTTCTATGTGTAAACAGAACCCCTGTGCCCCACTGCCAAAACAGTGGCCCCAGAATTATCAGTAAATGGTATTTCCATTATCTGACGTGATGCCACCTCTCTGGACTCATCTCCTAGCATCAACTATTCCTTATTCCGTTCAGTCAACATGGACCACCCTATTCTTTGGACATTATCAGGGCCTCTGTACTGGCTATCACCTTTTCTTTTCTTCCAGATTCATCATGAATGGTTTTCTAATTCCTCCAGCTCTTCTGGTGACTCACTTACCACACATATGCTGTTAACCTTTGAACAATATGGGTTTGAACGGCACAGGTCCACTTATATGGGAATTTTTTATAGTACGATACTGTAAGTGCATATTCTCTTCCTTAGGATTTTAATAACATTTTCTTTTCTCTATCTTACTTTACTGTAAGAATCTGTATATGATATATATATAACATGCAAAATGTGTTAACTGACGCCATGTTATTGCTAAGACTGCCAAGTCAACAGTCAGCTATTAGTAGTTAGGTTTGTCGGGGAGGGAGAGTGTCAAAAGTTCTATGTAGAAAATTTGACTGTGCAGGGGGGTTGGCATCTCTAATCCCTGTGTTGCTCAAGGGTCAACTGTAATATATAAAATATTTCCCTGCTTTCTCTATCCCATTTAATCTGCTTTATTTTTCCTTAGAGCATTCATCACTGTTTATGATATATCATTTATTTATTTACAGTTTATCTTTTCCTAGTAGACTATTAGCTGTATAAAAAATGGGACTCTGTATCCTTTACTGCTCTATGTCAAGCAATTCGTGCCCGACACAGTATAGACTACTTTAAAATAAACACCAGAGATTTTATTCAGATTAATAACCAACCTTGCTAAATAAAAAAAATTCTTTTCCTTGCAAATACATGAGGGAGACAACAAAAATACATTAAAGGAAAATAAAAATTCACTTGAGGGAAATGTATCTCATTTCCAAACCACAATATAAATCAGAGTATAATTCTTTTCTCTAAAACTTCAAAGATGGAATTCATTACTGTATATTTATAATCATTTCCATTCCCCAATGAAATTCAGATTTTAAGAAAAGAGAGTAAGGCCATCTTATTAAAAAGAATTTTTAAAGTAAGAAAACCCTTCACCCAGGTGTTTCTAAAATGCAAATAAAATATAAAAAGGATAATAAGCTCTCCCATTTTATGTCTTTCCAATACAGAAAAGCACCCTAGTTTTCATGAAAAGCATTTGTTTCTTGAGATACTATGAAAAGTAAAGGCAATACTACGCTAATTAAAAATAATTGTATTTTACTCAGGAAAAAAAAGCTTTTAAAAGTTAGTCATGTCTTTATCACAGGGCCCTAAGAATACAATAATCTTTTGTATAAAATGTAATAAAATCATTGGTCTTAAACACTAAAGAATATTAAAAGAACCGATTTAATTGGACCTAAAATTTTGCTTATTATAAAATGTCTAAACAAAAAATACCAAGAAAGCTTGAGACCAGTATCACATCACTCAAATGTTAAAGTACATAATTTTGCAGAAGTCAAAATTCACACCCTGACCTTGTCAAAGTGATAAAACCAAATATAATAAGCATATATCAGAATGTGCAGCAACACTGAATAATTCCATGTTAGCTATCAGGCTTTTCATTATTCCTAAGGAAAAAAATCTAAGTTTATTGACTAAAAAATGGAAATTTAATATTTAATATTCATTGAAAGTTGCCATTTAGATCTTTCTCAAACTTTCTGAAAGTTTAATCTTCATAAAATACAAAAAAATTGCATTAAATACAAAAAAACTACATTTTCCCATCAGTAAACATGAAATGCTATGTTGTCAAAGATGCTTACAGAAACTCTACAAAAATGATTTCCTAAATGGCAGAAAGGAAGCACCAAGCTAGAATTTATCCAAAAATTACCTGACAAGCCTAGTGAAATACTTGAGAGAGGAAAACGTAGGTTTCAGAGGGAAAAAAAAACAGAGTACAAAATAGTTTAAAGATCCACAACTATTATCATAACATTAACCTTACTGAAGACTACAAAAGAAATAAATAGATCTTCACTTCCAACAAGAAGTCCAACCCTTTCATTAACCAGGAAGTTTACTTACCGCCCATGTTTTCGTCAACCTGAAGATTGGAGCACTCTGTAAGCCAGAAACCACCGCCATAAGTGCATGAAGGTTATTCAGCTCATACAGTTTCTGTAGATTTAAGAAAAAGGGGGAGGAGAGATGAAAAATAAAGAGAAGAAATACCAAAAAACCTCCAGATTAACAACTAAAATCTAGGTAATCGGTAGTGTTCCAGTACTTACCACCATCATCGAGACTTGTCTTTAGAGTACCCATCATGTTTACAGTAAACTGACTTTGGCCACAAGAGAGCTTCCATGTCCTAACCTGGCACTGTCCCCAAGTGTTGGGAGCACATCTACCTCTAGCTCAGTAATATATTAAGAAAACCAAAGTTATGGCCCAGCATCAAGTTTGCGCAGTATGATCATGTACCCTAGTTTCTAGTAAGGAGTCTCCATTATACTGAAATGCCTTATAAGCCTCTGCCTTATGATCCCAGTTTTAAGAAAGAGTCTACACCCAGGATCCTGATAGGTTTCCTACTCAGTATCCTCTTAATTCCAGGGCTAGGGTTCAAACCTCCCTTCCATAGTCTTCCTCAATTTCCTGCTTCCTCCTGGCTGAATCCTCAGATCCTCTGTTCTTCATTCATGTTGGGACACCCACCCACTTCCTAATACTTGCTTTTACAATCTCCTTATAGAAGTCCTACCTAACATTAGGTTCCATCAGTTTGCTAAAGAGATCTATTTGACATTTATTGCTAACTTCCCATATTTCCTCTAACATGTATCCATGTGCTTACATCTTAGTGGTCCTATCTAAAATTCATTTAGAGGGCACCTGGGTGGCTCTGTTGGTTAAGCGTCCGACTTCAGCTCAGGTCATGATCTCATGGTCTGTGGGTTTGAGCCCTGCGTCAGGCTGTGTGCTGAAAGTCTGGAGCCTGCTTTGCATTCTGTGTCTCCTCTGTCCCTGTGTCCCTCCCCTGCTCGCACTCTGTCTCTCTCTCAAAGATAAAATAAAAACATTAATAAATAAACACACACATACGTATTATTTAGAATGGTCCTCACCCACCACCAAAAGACTCCAAGGCAAAAATACCAGTTTTGAACTGAAGAACTCTGACCAGTATACCACCTTAATTCAAGTCTCAAAGAATTCCCATAAAGTTTCAAGAAATACAAACTCAATAAAATTCAATCTTAAAAAAATGGAAAATGAAAAAACATAAGGCAACTGGAATTCAGAAATGAGAACAATGTCAGGTACTGACCTCAAATAAAATAAAGATTAAACACAAAGACATCATGAGATGTCCAGAATGCAACATGAAAGACAAAGAATTTTTTTAAAATGTCAAACAAAGGTTAAGAAATATGAGAGGTAGAGAAAAAAGGCCAACATTTACTTAGATGGAGTTGTAGAAGAAAATGATAAAAAGTAATGGGAGCAACAATTAACTGAGAGATAATGGGAGATTATTTTCCCAGAATACTGTAAAGACACTAATTCCTAGTGCCTAAAGAAACACACAAAACTGTAAGTCTGGAATAGCATTTTAAAAAAATGTTTTTTTTGAGAGAGAGGAGGAGACAGAGCACAAACGAGGGAGGGGTAGAGAGAGGAGACACAGATCAAAGCAGGCTTCAGGCTCTGAGCTGTCAGCACAGAATCTGACTCAGGGGCTCAAACTCACGAACTGTGAGACAGTGACCTGAGCTGAAGTTGGACACTTAACCGACTGAGCCACCCAGGCACCCCTGGAATAGCATTTTTTAAGAATAAGATAATGTAAAGTTACTTCCAGGCAAAAGAAAATAAAGATTACTAGAACACAGGATTTTTAAAAATGGGGTCAGACACTCAATACCACTAATCATTAGGGAAATACAAATCAAAACCACAATGAGCCATCCTTTCATACTCGTCAGATTGGCTACTATCAAAAAGACAAAAAATAACAACTGTTGGCAAGGATGTGGAGAAAAGGGAACCCTCACACACTGCTGGTGGGACTGTAAATTGAGGTAGTCACTATGGAAAGTCCTTTTTAGGTTCTTAAAAAATTTTTAAATAGAACTACCATATGATTCAACAATTCTATTTATGGGTATTTATCTAAAGAAAAGGAAAACAAAATTCACAGAGATATATGTACTTCACTGCAGCATTATTTACAAGAACTAAGATATAGAAACAACCTAAGTGTCCACTGACTGATGAATAAAGATGTGGTATATATGATACAATAAAATACTACCCAGTCATGGAAAAAAAAAAAAAAAAAAGAAATCTTGCCATCTCTGATAACACGGTTGAACCTAGAAGGTATTATGTTAAGTGAAATAAATCAAACAAAGACAAATATAGGATGATTTCACTTATATGTGCAATCTAAAAAACAAATGAACATTCAAAACAGAAACAGGTTTACAGGAAATAAGCTGTTGGTTATCATATGGGAGGGCTAGGGGGAGTGGGTGAAATAGCTGAAGGGGACTAAGAGGTACAAACTTCCAGTTCTAAAATAAGTAAGTCAAGGGGACGTGATGTAGAAAATATAGTAAAAAAATATTACAATAATTTTGTATGGTAACTAGACTTACTGAGTTCACAATGTATAAAAATAATGAAGCACTGATATATACACTTGAAACTAACAGGATACTGTTTGTCAATTATTCCTCAATAAAAAAAATAGTGCCAGATATATTACTCATATGAAAAATATGAATGATCCATAATTCATACATACAGAAAAAATTTATTCCACATGGATTAAATACTCAAATACAAAAGTCAAAGCTATAAAATTTTCTTAAATGAGATATTCTTTTTTTTATTTTTAAGTTGATTTATTTCTTTTGAGAGAGTGCATGTACATGTTGGGGAGGGGCAGAGAGACACGGAGAGAGAAATTCCCAAGCAGGCTCCGGGCTATCAGCACAGAGCCCAGTGCAGGGCTTGGTCTCATGAGCTGTGAGATCATGACCTGAGCCCAAACCAAGAGTTGGGCTGGGTGCTTAACTGACTGAGACACTCAGGCACCTCTTAAATGAGATAATAAAAATTAAAGATCAGTAGGTTTGACTACTAAAGTTAAGAACATCTATATCAAAAGATAACATGAAAAGAGTAATAAGACAAGTCAGTCACAAACAGAAGGATGGACATCTATCATGCTACTGGACATCAAAAAGAAAGCTGGAGTAGCCATATTTATATCGGACAAACTGGACTTTAAAATAAAAAATAAAGGCAGTAACAAGAGATGAAGAAGGGCATTATGTAATAATTTCAGGGTCGATCCATCAGGAAGAGCTAACAAGTATAAATGTCTATGCACTGAATTCAGAAACACCCAAATACAGAAGACAATCACAAACATCGTTAAGAATGTGCTAATAGGCTCTTTCCATATTTGGCTAAGTGTCCATCAACTGATGAATGAATCAAGAAAATGCAGTTTATATATACAATGGAATACTACATGGCAATGAAAAAGAATGAAATCTGCCATTTGTAGCAATGTGGATGGAACTCAAGGGTATTATCCTAAGTGAAATAAGTCAGGCAGAGAAAGATACCATATGTTTTCACTCATGTGGAACTGGAGAAACTTAACAGAGGACCATAGGGGAGGGGAAGGGGGAAAAACAGTTGGGGAGAGGGAGTGAGGCAAACCATGAGAGACTCTTGAATACTGAGAACTGAAGACTGATGGGGGGGAGGGGAAGGGGGTTGTTGGCATGGGGAAGGGCACTTGTTGGGATGAGCACTGGGTGTTATATGGAAACCAACTTGACAATAAACTATATTAAAAATAAAAAAAAAACAAATAGAAGGATGGACATAAAAACGTATATTGGAGAATCAGCATCTAAAATTAAATGGAAAACTCTTACAAAAATCAATAAAAGATCAACACTATAAGAGACAATTGTTCAAACATCTTGAACAGACATTTCAGGAGAGAAAACCTAAATGGCCAACACAGAAAAAAATGTTCATTTTCATCAAGTTCAATGAAAGCTATTGTTCTGTCATTTCTTTAAAGGTAATTTACCTTTTCTCTCTATATTTCTAGGGCTTCGATCCTCACATGAGCACAAAGAGAATCCCACAAGACAGGTTTATAGAAGCCATGTTTATAACAACAAAACCATGAACCTATCCAAGCCAGAGTATACTGAAGAACTGGTGGTATATGCAAGCAACAGAACACTCTACAACAGAGACACACCAAAAGCCATTCAGCAACAGTGCTGAGTAAAAATACGTCATTAAAGTATAAAGTAATTATGGAATAATTTAAACAAAATTCAAAAACAGATACAACAATGTATTATTCAGGAACACATATTATGTAAAAAAATAGAGAAGAAAAGCTAACATGAAGTTCAGGGCAATGGTTCCTTTAGTAGAGGCGGGCAGGGGATTCGGTATGTGGAGGCATATCGGAATCCAGTGAGCACTGGGTATAGAGGTGTCTGCTTTATCATTCTTTTGATACCTAAAATGTATTCTATAAAGTTTTTGTGCAGCTATGTGATGATTAGCTTTATATGTCAAACCTGATTAGACTACAGTGCCCAGTTAAACAGACATTAATCTAGGCTTTGCTGTGGAAAAACTGTGTAGATATAGTTAACATCCATAATCAGTTGATTTTAATTAAAAGTGACTATATTTGATAATAAGGTAGTCTGCATCTAATCAGCTGAAATGCCTTAAGAGTATAAAAACTAAGGTTTCCCAGAGAAGAAATTCTGCTTCAAGGCCAGAGGTTATTCTAGGCTGTCTACCTGCCTGACAATCCATTTCACACTTGCCAGCCCCCTCCCCCAACCACTGGAGTCAATTTCTTAATTTTCTTTATACATTTTATATATGTGTCTATTTATTCTGTCTCTCTAGGGAACCCTGAGTGATACAGCCTACTAAAAGAAGAAAAAGACCTGCAAGTTTCATAACAGACTGAATACACAAGGCAGAGAGTCAGAATATAGGGACTTAAGAGACAATGTGAGGCCAAAAAAATGATGAATTTACGGTTTGGGATGAAAGAAACTACTGTCTAAGAGTCTGAACTGGAATTAAATGATTACTTGAGGAGGCGGGTAACGGTGAGCCTGACAGGCAGAAGTTGGTGGTTTTGAGTAGAACATACAAAGCACATAAAAAGAAAAAAAAAAAACAACCCAGAAAACAAAAAACCAAATTCAGATGCACGGAGAAAAGACATGATTTTCTGCCAGCTAAAACCCAATATTCATCGAACATATCACAGAGAACATTTGTAAAGCTTTTATGACACTGCCACAGAATGTCACATTTCGAAAGCTAGCTCTGCCACCTAGTGCCCCAGAACGTTAGCATACATCTGCTCCCAGGTGCGCGAGGAAAATACAGAAGCGTTACAACATACAGCAATTACAATTTTACAATAATTATAATAACTTTAAATTTTAAAAATAGCATTTTCATTTTAGTCCACCTTCATTCAGATGTGAGATGTTACGAATTTATTATAATAATGAAGAATGTGGCTACAATTATACATCTTTTAGTGAACTTAACAAATTTAGCGTTGTCATGAATTTTAAGAAGTATTAGCAGCCTTCTTGTGGAATGCCTTGTTCACCCTCCTCTCTAAATTCTGCCCATCCTTGAAATCCATGCTCCTTTTCTCTTGCTGCATTCAGGATCTATGCTCCTCAATTAACATATCTGGTTAACATCTTCTTTATATCATTCCTTTAAAAAGATAGTCTTAGTGTCCACAGAGTTGGCAGTGACAGATTTCAAAAGCAAATAATCGATATGCATTTTCCTACTTAAACCTGTAAGGCTTTCTCAATTACCTGCTGAAGAGTCCAGTATTTTTTCAATATTATACTTCATCATAATCTGATCTCTGCCTACTTATCCAGTCAAATAAATAATATATTCCAGCTACTCTAAGAGAGGGAGGAAAGATCTAAAGAGAGAAAGATAGGAAGAATAAAGAAAAGGCAAAGAAAACAGGCATCCAATTGAAAAAGTCAACATATTAATCAATAAGCCTTATTTTCCAGGGTCAACAAATAGTAAATAAAGTATTACAGGTAAACATTCACTCACAAACAATGCTGAATGGTTGGACTCAAAAATGCAAGTCTTTCTTACCTTAGCAGTTTTAATATAGTGGCTCAAAACTTCTGCTCTAATTTTTAACGTCTGAGCATGAAGAATTTCTCTAACAACCCAAAAGCTTACCTGCAAATAAAAATTAAAAGGAGTTGAACAGCAAACTTCTTTACTCAGTAGGATCAAATTAATAACAGGAGCTAATTGATGAACAACGTATAGCTGGTTAAAAAAATGATACTTTCTTTTCACCTTCCCGGCTCCCCACCAGGATATAACCAGTCTTCAAATGTTGCATACATTTCACATATATGTGATATGTATGTGCATAAAGATATACATGTGTGTGTGTATATGCTTAAACAAACACACATAAAAACATCACTATGAATTTTGATGTTTGATGTATGAATGTGTTTGTAAAAGCAAACACATTTTGAAGAAGCGAATAAAACTGGTTTTATTGCGTTATTACAAGAACACTATACAAATACATGTAATTTTCCTGTATTCTGAAACACTATGGCAGAATTGGATGAGCTCTAAGAACAGACATTATAAAATATGCTATTTAGGGCAAGTTTTTCTGTGGCTGTGTAATCCAACATTGCCATTTATTTACATTATGAAATAATACCGTAAAGAAAAAATACATCTAAGTCATTCTAAAATTAGACTAAGATTGTACTTTTAAAATCACATAATGCTTTCTAATCCAATAAACCATCTTTACAATTTCTTTTAAAAAGCATTAAAAACCATTCATCAGAAGGCAAACTAATCTCAATCACTAAAATGTTCTATCTACTCTGATAAAAAGCTTGCTTATCATAAATGTAACATATTTTTAATTCATTTACTATGAAGATAAAATCAAGGCACTATCAGTTGGCTCGAACTTATACAAATCTAAAAACATGGTGTATTATCAAGAAATAATAGTGCAAGAGACAGTGCCACTGCCTCCCATTTCTTGTCCCTGTCTTAGTGAGAAACATTTCAGATTTTACTTGCAACTTTCATCTATAAACTGCCAAAACATAAATATTTTGTATATATTTTACAAATCTATATATAAATATAAAATGTATGTATTTTACAAAGACATTTTCGTATTTGTTACTATATCTGGGCTACTAATGATAATAATTATCCCTGATTCTGATAAAGTGTACTTCTAAAATATATCAAAAGCTGTATGTTATTTTATCAACAACCTTGGCAAATATCACCTGTGAATTCAAACTAAACTGCATGATCACTGACTTTATTAGCTTTAATTCTAGCCAAATTTTAAGACAAATACCATCATGATTTTAAAACATAGCCAAAAAGTCTTTGTCATTCTGTCCTTGAAAGCCAGGTTCTATGTCACCTGTCATGTCATCTGGACAGGCTCGTGACTGCTTTAATGAAAAGATTAACGGAATTGATGCTAATTTCCAAAAGAAAGTCATAAAAGAATATGCAGCCTCTGTCTTGAATGCCGGAACATTCTGATATTCCTGAGCTCCTAAGACCCCCATGCTGGAAAGGCTAAGTGTAGGTGCTCCTTAGTCAATAATCCCAGCTAAAGCCAACCACACCTGAGAATACTGATCCAGAATGACCAACACAAAGATATAGTTCAATAAAATTACTGGGGAAAAAAATCTTTTGGCCATCGAGACAAAAAGATAAAATGATTTTTAAGGAAAAGAAAATTTAATTATCACCAGACTTATCGACAATAACACCTGTCAGGGAAAAAAAAAAAGAATAATATATTAAAAATCATCAAGGGAAGAAAATTTTACAGAGGACCAGCAATTTGCCAGGATGCAAGAATTCAGGAATTACCATTCTCATGAGCCCTTGCTGAGTACTGTAATGGATAACAAGCTCTAGGCAACCAACAAGCCTTGAAAACCAGGATTCTGTGTGTAGAAGAAAGAACATGCGGATGTAATACAGAAGAGTTGGAAATAAAACTCTGGTCCTGAATTTGAATTAGAAGTATCTATATGAACTCATGAGACATCTTATCTTTAAATATTTGTGTGTCTCTCTGTGTGTGGATGAAATATAGAAATCTTAGCTATCTCTGCTGAAAAAGGCATAGAAAATAGCAATGAGCATTCCCAGCATTCAGGTCCATTTTCCCCTGTAAGAAACCAGGACTTATTAAATATTGATTCCAGGTGCAGGGATAGAAGGGGAGCAGGTAATGGACAAAATGAACCTGAAACATCTTTGCATACCCGATGACAAGGAAACTCTTAAAAGACTGCTAGAGTCATGACAAAGGACATGAAAGCCAACTTGAAAAGACTTCCACTGGCCAAAGATGGAACATTATTAGTTTTCAGTCAGGATAATAACTGCTATTGGGGTGCCTAGGTGGCTCAGTTGGTTAAGCAGAAGACTCTTGATTTCAGCTCAGGTCATGATCTCATGGTTTTGGAAGTTCGAGCCCCACATGTGGCTGGCTCTGTGCTGACCACGTGGAGCCTGCTTGGGATTCTCCCTCTTTCTCTGCCCCTCCCCCTACTCTCACTCTCTCTGTCTCTCTCAAAATAAATAAACTTAAAAATATATTTTAAAAAAAAGATAATATCCGCTATGGGTTGAAACGCATCATATATGATGTTTTAATTTCTAAGTTCATAATGGTATTTAAAAATAAACTAGTTGGTTACTACTAGAGCAAGACAGAATACCAATTCATTATCTTCAAAACTCCTAAATAAAAGGAAACAATTGAACATTTATCCTTCCTTGCTTATAGGAAATGGATCTCTGCGTAAACAAATATCAGATGAGGGAAAATGTCTCTTTATAAAAGCATTCCAACTAATAAATGACGAAGAATGAAATGCAGATTAACCTTTAAAAAATTATTGATGTTTATTTTGAGAGAGGGAGGGAGGGAGACGGAGAGAGAGGCAGAGAGAAAGGGAGACACAGAATCCAAAGCAGGACCCAGGCTCTGAGCTGTCAGCAAGGAGCCCAACAAAGGGTTCAAACTGTGAGATCATGACCTGAGCCTAAGTCGGATGCTTAACCAACTGAGCCACCCAGGTGTCCCAGCCTTTTAACAACCTCAACTAATCAATGGATCTAGACACAGCTGCTAAAATCCTGAAAAAGACAACCAGGTATTAGGTGCCTCCTGATGAAAAGGAAGAAAAATACAGCAATTACAACACATACTCCTGCCAAAGGCACTGAACCCAACTGAATCTCTGGAACCACCACTAATATCCAGAAAACAGAATATATTAAATTATATTAGATCCAATCTAGATTGTGGGAGACTCAAAATTAGGTCAAAATGCCTCGGTGCCTCCACAGGTAAATGGTAAGGAAAAGAAAGGGAGAAACGGTCAATTAAAAACTCTTAAAATTTAACAAATTTTAAAAATTGGTAAGGCTAAATAGTTGTGTCTGGGGAGCCACATTTAGGTGATAAAACTATAAAAAGAAACACAAAAAAGTGAGTAAAATAAAAGGACTCATTATTCTTGGAGGAAGAAAGGGTGTGAGGGTGTGTGGGCTGAGGTACATGTAGGGATTTCTAGAGTATTTGGTCAAATTTTATTTTTGACCTTGGTGGTGCTACAAGGATATTTGCTTGACAATAGTTTACTGAACCATGCATTTGTTTTGTGGTCTTTTTGTATCCATGTTTTACTTCACAGTAAGAAATGAGTAAGAAAATAAATGAGTAGGAAATATGAGAATAATAAAAAAGACCAGGGAGATCTGAAAATGATAGAACTTGTGAAAATGAAAAAAAAAAAAGTGAAATTAAAATTAGTGAGAGCTAGAATGAAAAGGTCCACAGAGGTAATGATCTTTGTTTTTCCTGTTCACTAATATATTCCAAACACTGAGAACAGCGCCCAGGACACAGTAGAAACTTAATAAACATTTACTGAATAAAAATGAAAGCTGAATCATTTCACATCAATTAGATTGCAAAGTCTGATGAAACCAAATGTTGACAAAGATGATAGTTAATGAAAGCTCTTGTACTCTGCTGGTGGGAATGCAAAATTAGTACAATCATTAAAAAAAAGACACTATCTTTTATAGTTAAACATGCATACACTCTCTTTGACAAAAATTTAATATTCAGATGCACAATTTTCCTAACCAATTAATTACAGTGGGTTTTTTTTACCCACTTTAATGTATCAATTTAGTAAGTTTAAGTACCAATGTTATTGCTTTAATAAGCAGAAAGATCAAAGAACATATAACCTAATATAAATAAATAGTATTTCAGAATACTTCTGTTTCAGCTGTGTGTCTACACTGAAGTGCAATGTAAAATATTTTATCTTAACATGAGTCACCATCAATACAGTTTGAAAGCCACTGCCTAGAGAAACCAGTACTCATTAGCACCAAGACTCACAATATTCCTAGCAGCATTCTTCATACAGCAAAAAATTAGTTAATTTATCTTATGGTCATCCTCAAAAGAATGATAAATCCATTTTGATATATTCAAGCAATGAAATGCTAGACAGCAGTGAAAAATCAATGAACTAGCGCCAAGTACATCACCTGGCATCAAAGAAACACAAAAGTGAAAAAAAGCCAACCATAAAAGAATATATATATTCTGAAAATATGTTTTATGAGAATGAAACACAAGATTATACAACATGCTGTTTAGGGATACAAACATTTCTGATAAATCTATAAAAGAATTAGAAGAGTTTAAAAAACTTTTGAAAAATCTGCCCCAAAAACCAAAACCCAAATTTTGAGATAATGGCTACCTGTCAAGAGAGGGTAGAGGGAAAAACATGTAAAATGTTTAAAGTATTTGGGTATTATTCTAGTTCCTAGCTTAGGTGGTGAATTAGAAATCATTTATTAGACTGCTTCTTAATACACATTCATCACATGAACTTGCCATTTCTGTAGGCTAACAATGGTTGAACATGAGCAGTTTCATATGATTGAAATAAATATTTAACACATTCTTTGAAATGTACCAAATATTTTATAAAAAAGCAAATCCTAGAAAACATTCATAGGATATTTCTAACTGTAGTTGCTTTATTCAGTTTTATAATCATATGGAGGTGTTATAAAAACTTTATATTTGCAGCCAAAAATATGTTAAGCTTAAA